CCTCTTGGGATCCCAAATTGGTTACCCACCATGTTAGTCAGTTTTCCTTCCTCATAATGAAATACCTGAGATAGTCAACTTATAAATAATATTTTTTTAAAAAAAAGATTAATTTGGTTATGGTTTTGGTGGTTCCAGTTCTTAATGAGTTGGCCCCATTGCTTTGGGCCTGTATGGAGGCAGCACATCATGGGAGGAGCAGGTGTTGAAGCAACACCCGTCATCCTACTGCCAGAAAGTAAGATTGAAGAAGGGACCGGGGTGCCACAATCTGCTTCGAGGGCATGTCCTCAATGATCTGAAGATCTAGACCCCTCCTCTTAAAGGTTCCACCACCTCCCAGTAGCACTCTCCTGGGAACCACGCCTTTAACACATGGACCTTTGGAGGACATTTCAGATATCAGCACCCACACCCCTGTCCCCCAGCTCATGCATCAGGTTAGCAACACTGATGACTCCCCAAACTGTTCTACCCAACCTGTACCTGGGCTCCTTATGGGTTTGATGCCCCACCAGCTGCTCTTCAATCCTCCTGCCCCAACGCCACTTTCCTCCCTCATAGCTTCTGGCCAACAGCTTTTTGCAAGTCCAGCGGGCCTCCCCACCTTCCCATAGTCACTTCATCCTCGCTGTCAGTCCCTTTTCCACGCTGCTCCAGAGCAGCATAGGCATCAGCAATGGGCTTCCTGCAGGTTTAGAGTTTTTTCCATAATACATAGTATTTTAAAAATATTTGTCCTGACTGCTTTTTGCCTCCAGTCTCCTTAGCATTATTCTGAAGCCCCTTTACAATCTGTCCCATCTCAATGTCTCTCCCCTGTCATATGCCCCCAGTGACTACTCGGCTCCAACCACACTAGGCACTCACACTTCCTTGAACCTCCTTGTGCTTCCGTGGCCTTCTTCATGCGGGTTCCTATGCCTGGAATGTCCACCTTGTCTTCAGGAGTCATCTTGAACAACCCAGGTCAAAAATCACCTTTTATGCATTCCCTACACCCAGGCAGAGCTCATCACTTCCTTCTGTGGCTCCCACACTTGGTGCTAAAATAACACTCATCACATATTATAATTTTTTGTGTACATTTTTGTCTCCTCCACAAGATGATCAACTTCCTGCAAGTAGGAATTGTATCTCATTTATCTGGACTTGTCTCCAGTACTCAACACATTATCAGGTATGTATGTATGTATGTATTTCTGTGGTGCTGGGGATTGAACCCAGAGCTTCACACATACTAGGCATACACTCTGCCATGAACTACATACCCAGTCCCCATATCTGGTATTTAGTGTATGCCTATCATTGTTTGTTGAATGAAAAAATAAACTCCCAGCTCCAAGATTCTTCTTGTAGTTTACCCAGTGTATCCAGCCCAGCTGGGAGCTAGGAATGTTCGATTTAGAGGGAGAAGCAGGATTCCAGGAGCAGGTTAAGAGGAAATAAGCTACAACTGCCCCTGTGGCTCCTGCTGGGCATCATTTTACACTCCAGTGTCTGGATCTAAGATGGTAGTTTCTGCCTTGTCTTTTCCTAAATGTCATAACTGCAGCAAAACTCCTTCATTAGCCAGTCTGGCCATACCACAGACACGTGGGTTGGAAAGAAGAGGCTGCCTGTTTCTTTTCAGGTTCCTATGGATACCGCACTTCTTTTGACCCATTGGGATCCATCTGCGTGGGCAGCTGCCATCTCTGGATTGCAAATACACAGCGAACAGGAAGGTAGGAGAGGAGGAAGGGGAGAGAGAGACCAGGAAGGGGGAGGGCAAGAAAGAATTGAGAGAGAGCATATGGATACTTGTTCCTGTAGAAGATAGAATATATTTGATAGCTCGTTGAAAAATCAAACATATTTTTGAAAAATTTTCCTTTCACTAAATATAAAATGTGAAAATCACCAATAGCTTTCCATTCTGCAGCCAGAGCAGAGCGCCTGGATATATTTCCATCAGTAATTTCTAGACATATCCTTCACAGCCGTAACTAGGCAGCTAAGCACTCCGACATGTGCTTAACTAGGAAGCGAATTAGGCAGCCAGTCTGTAAAAATGTAATATGGTGTCTTTTCCTCCTTTTTGCTCATTTCATTAATAAACATGTACATTGATGCACACAGTAATGATGATAATATTTTGTATGGCTGACTCTTTACAGTTGAACAAGGATCTTTTGCTTAGAGCTTCACAATAACCCAGTGAAGCAGGCAAAATGCATATGGCCATTTTGTCCTCCCAATGAAGAATCCTGATGAAAAATCTGAGGCATTGAGTAGAGATTGTCCAGAACAACTCTGTGGAGGTGGGGTCAAGAGTCAAAGGCAGGATGTCAGCTTCCAACATGGTGCCCTCAACCTCACACCCTTCACCTATGTCCTGCCTCACTGCCAGCTAAGCCTCAGGCCACTTCTCATTTGGAGGGTAAGAGGTTGGGAAGGAGGGAATGGATGGTTTGGGTAGGAGTAGGCATGTTGACAAAGTTTGATAGTTTCCTGGGTTTTTAAAACCCCACATTAAAGTAAAGCAAATAAATTCAGGTCCAATAATCAAAACACTGGCTTATAACTTTTCAACTCATCACTTTCTCTGAATTTATAAATTTGACTCGCTTGCCTATACATTGAAGACTTTTGAATATGGTTCCTATATTGAATGTATCTCCAAAATTGAGGTCATGATTTCTGGCTGCATGGGTGCCATGTTCTATGTGTCTTTTGCTCTGTGTGGCTTCCCATGACTGCCCACCCCATCCTCAGGAGGCTTAGATGCCCTGGACACAAGGAGACCTCCTTTTTGCCACATTTCATCAGTTTCTCAAATACCTGTGTCTGTGGGTTAGTGATGACCATACATTAGAGTTAAAGAATATTAAAGTTTATGAAAAGCTTTACTCTTTCATACAACCTGCCTCCTGCATCCTCCTATCATAACATCCCCTCCCAGGCCATGAAGTCAATGGGATGGATATTACTATTTAAATTTTACAGATAAAACATGGAGCCTGGAGAGGTTAAGTAAATGTCCATTTTAGACAAACAGAAAGTGGTGAACCAAGAACCAAGAACTACTAAATCCTAAACTTCTAATGCCAAGCCAACACTCCTGCCAGCATAGCTGTTCATATTGCTACTCTCTCCTACCCCCATTATAAAACCCTGATAAGATAGGATACATCCCATTACACCACTGATGAACAGTAGTCAATGCACAAGTTGAACTGTGGGTGAAAATATAGGGTCCTTCTCCTGGGTGAAAAGTGGGGCACTTGCCCCTCTGGGAGACAATAGCCCTCTGAATGTGTCTCAGACAAAGAACATCCTGCTCCACTGTGATTGCACCTTGAATTAACTGTGCCTCCCACATGGAAGCTCTTTATCCTGGTTGCATGGGTGGTTCATGAATCCCCTGCAACTGAATGAGGATTCTTTTGGGTTTTTTTCTCGGAGAAAGTTCATTGTTTTCATTAGGTTCTCAAAGCAGCACAAAAGAGGTTAAAAATAATTGTTGTGCCCTGCAAGCTCATCAAGCTTGGTCTCTCCAAAGCCTACCACAGTGCCTTTCATGCAACAAGTGCTAGACGGACGCATATATGCATGTGTGTGAGTGGATGCATGTTATGTGGCTCTACAATTTTTTTGGTCAAGCTCTAATTCCACAATTGACTTTATGGTATGCAGAGAGATGCACTTTCTGTTACGCAGAGAGATGCACTAGTCAGGACCCATCAAACGAACAAAATTTAAGGGGAAAATGTTTAAAATTGTGAAAATCTTTTTGACTCTCTATTAAATGTGATATGACTGACTCATGCTCCCCATTGTTCTTCTAGCCTTCCCATCCCTTGATCACCATGCAAAGAAGAGGATTTACATATGACCAATGTCAGCAGAGCAAATAGGGAAATTATATGGCATGTGTTCCAGCCCTGGCTGGTTACATATTGTACATTTTTATAGCCATTCCCCTGTCAGAATTATAAATCTGCCACACACACACATACAAAAAAAAAAAAAAAAAAGAACTAATTTAAAATGGAGCATATCAGAAAAATCACAACTCAGCAAAATATGGTATTTTTTTCAGACAAACACTGCATAACTAAGCTATATATGCACATTGTGGTTTTAGAGACTGTCCAAACTGCAGGGTGATTGAGGATTCCAGTCCCTCATCCCTGAGTGCAGGACTGATTTCAAGAAGATAATTAAAGTCAATTGTATCTGGTATATGAAATCAAACACCATCCTATACTCCCTGGGTTGGGCAGATCAAAGATAATAAACCTGTCAAGAACCAAGACAAAGGGTCACCAGGGAGTGGCAAACCCCTATCAGGTTTAAATTTTTGTCAGAAGAGTTAGTGTGGAAATAGTTTGGTGAACACACCCTCCTCCTCAAACCTAGGCTGAACAGCATTGAGGGAAAACTGGCGGGGTCTTTCAACACATTGGCAAGAGCCACCCCTGTCAGCCTAGAAAAGAGCAGAGACTGGGAGGAATATGCTAGAGAAGAGTGCTCATCTGTCCTGCCAGCACTCCACATAACCGTGGCCAGAATCTGTCATTGGATATTTTCATGCAAGTACCAATAAGCCAAACACAAAAACTACCTGGAGGCTGGATATGACTGTGGGATTTAGAACTAAATGCCAGAGAGTATAAAATGTCCTGCCAAGGACACACATTCCTCTACCAGTGGTTTGTACACTTTTCCTTGTCAGATTAGAAAGAGGAAGCAGGGTATAATCCATGGATCGAAAATCAGATCTAAAGTCCTAAGGTCTGAAATCAGTATCTCAACTAGTAAACAAAGACATCCTGGGATTCGGGAGATCAATTCAACTTATTTTATGCACCATTATGATAAGATGAAGAAAAATTCTTTGTAGTTTATTATCTCATGTCTACATTATCTTATTTGTTCACAACTCTGCAAAGCAAGTAGAACTGGTATTGTGTTTCTAAGGATGCAGATATGAAAATAAAGATTAGAAACTTGGAGTATCTTTTTCAGGTTCAAGTACCAATTGTTAGTGCTCGGTACCATGTTTTCTCATTCCAGGACCAGGGTTCTCTCCAAAAGAGCCTTTCCCCAGCAGACCATAAGGCTCTGCTCATACTTATACTACTACTCAAATGGTCCTGTATGCTGGAAAGTCATCTTATAGATGAAATTCCATTATAAAGAGATCCTTTTAGCAATTTAATTAAAAACATTCTTTGGATTGATCCAGAAGGTACTTATCTGGTGTTGTATTGTGTTTCTTTGTAATAGTCAAGCATATGCTTCAGTTTTTGCAGTTTAATTACAAAATATATCTATATTTATTATTAGTCACTTTATGCCCTTAAGACAATTACTGGTCTAAAGACCTTTGAAACAATTTTTTTTTAATTTTCAAAAAAAAGTATTATTTAAGGAAAAGCTTACATTATTCATTCCATTCACAAATTATTTGTTAAGCACCCACCAGGCATTGCCCAGGACATTAAGAAGAATTCTGTAAGAAGCTTAAAACAGAAAGAGGATATCAAATAAGAACAGACAAATGCATAAATGGCACTAACAACTACATTAGAACAAAGGTAGAAGGTTCCAGAAGCATTGAGAAAGGACACTCAACCCAACATCATAGCAAGTCAGAGAAGACTTTCCAGGGGAAGAAGAACAATGCCAAAAATTTGGGAGTAGAATTTTGCAGAACATTTCTAGCCTCATTTGTACTTCTAGTGCCCCCAGGGAACTCGGAGCAATATTTAAAGGCCCCTGAACTTTCCCACTTGCTTTGCCCACACTACTCTCCTGGCCAGAATACCTACCCTTGAATTTTATTCCAATATCATCATTGTCCTTCTGAAATCTCAACTTCAATGCAGCTCTTTCTTGAAAGCCTTCTTTGACCTTATTTTTAAGAAACAAAACTGAACTCACCTGAGAATATTTGTAAATAAAATATTCAAGTTCACCTACATTTCCTTGGTCCTTCAGAAATCCTAAGCCCCTCAGCTTTATTAGCATCAAAAAATCACTATATATACATTCAATGTTTGGAAAATAAATCATCCTATATGCCACCCAAACATTACTGGGGAAGCCCCACCAATGGAGTCATGGCCATTTCTAAAACCTTCCAAGGCTGGTGTTAGCACAGTGCTATGGTCCTCACCCACAGGCAGAGGAGTGAGAGAGGAAGTTGTCCTTTCTCTGCTCCACTGTATCCCATTGGGGTATGAGAGGAAGCCGGAAGGGTAACCACTGTCAGGATCCTTGGTCAACTGGTGGCAGATTTGGGTGAAAATATGTCAACACCGCGTTGCAGAAGACCTCACTTTTTTCACCATAAAATTATATAGTGGTTCTTTTGACCATCAGCAAATCTTTAAAAATGGGACCAAAACAATTTTCTTTAGAGACACTACAGGACTAAAGAGAGAGACAATATTCATATTATAGAGTTTTGCAAACTCTCCGGATGTCCTAACAATAAGTTACAGATGTTTAATCCTAAATTAAGAAGCTAAATATAATGTGGACTCTACAAACGGCAATTTTCTATAATTTGAGGAAAATATTTGGTAGCTCAATTCCCACTGGAAATGGCTGGCAGCAGTTCTGCTCTCTGTTAAACATCTCTGTCAGCCTTTCCCTGCGATGGGTTCATACGAGAGAAAAACAATAGATTTGCAAAAACAGCATAGAGTGACTGGGAAACTGTAATTTGAATTTTCCTCTAAACATCTTGATATTATTTTATAACCAGGGGATGTATTAGGATATCAAGGAGCATACATTCATATTTGTATTAATTCCATTAAGCCATTTCTTGGCTTTTCACATTTTGTTATTGCCTTGTTCTCCTTTGTTTTGAAAAGAGACTATCAGTTTTCCTGTGGCATGCTATTTTATCTTTGCCTGCAATAAGATATCAGCCTAATATTGGCAGAGCAACTTCCTACAATGATTCTTTGTTTTAGGGGAAAAAAATGCATGAATAGTACATTATTAAAATAGAGAAGGAAGTGTGTTTCATTTCATTTATTATTTATTTAGTGAAGATTGTCATGGTACCAGGTGTTTTACAAAAGACAAATAAAGTAAAGCAATAACACAGCGCACTTGGATCTTGCATTGCAGAGGAGGATCTCTGAGCACTCAGCAAACACTCACTCGTAAATCAACTCACTTCAGGCAGGATGTAAAGATTGCTTTAAGTTTACAGTCAACTTCATAGAACCTGCTGTGAGCAATGCTTCATGCCACAAGTGTAAACGGTGTCACTGGATTTCTGAACCCTTCAAGGACACAGGGAAAGATGAGATCAAATTGGGGTGGAGTTATGAAAAACGGTGGGTGAGTTTCGAAGAAGCGAAGCTAGAAAAAAAATGTAATAACAAATAGAAGACTCTGGAAAACTGAAAGTTACCGCAGTGAGTTTCGACTGATGATGGTAGGTTCTAAATCAAATGCACACTTAACAGCTGTCAAGAGTAAAGGTTTTACTTATCTCAAGTTTGGCTCTTATCTTTGTCTAACACATTCATGACATCTAAATTTTTTTGTGTATAGGAGAAATTTTCTCTAATATTTTTTAAAAATAGTAATAGCCAAAATTGTATCTTTCTTTACATTCACAGAATTGAAATATGCTCTATTCTAAATAATAATCACACAGAATTTGCCACATATCTTCTTAATGTGAAAGTTGGAATCAGGAAACTCTCATCTACTCAGATCCCACTGAATTCTGAATTTGTGGGCTGATAACCAGAAATGGGTGGAAGAGTATGCTTGTGAAGTTTATCAGGTAACGCCTGAAGTGGGTCAGGCCTGTGATGGGGTCAACCATCCCAGGGTCCCTCTCTAGGCCTTCATGGAAAGTTGCAACTCAGAACTTGGAAATTCTTACCTTTGTTCTTGGGGGAGTTTGTCGAGTCTTATGCTCAGAAATAAAGTAAAGGGCAGAGAACCAAAAAGGTAGGTCTTCCAATTAATATTTTAAAACCAGGATCCAGAGACCAGGGCTGTGCAGGGGAGTTCTGCATTAGCCGGACTTTCTGTCATCTACTGCCAGAGCTCGTTCTTCTCAGCGCCTGGGCTGATGGCTTGAGCCTGATGCAAGTTTATGGGGTTGGAGGTCAAGCAGCCTCCTGGGAACAAGTCTACATGGTACCCTCTGCTAGAAGATGCTCAATCTGCTAGAGTACCATGCAAAATGCCACTCTGCAGTGGGCTAAGGTTCCTCTGGGAAGCAGCTCAGAGAGGAAAGAGCCAGGAATAGGTTAGAACAACAAAGCTTCGGTATTCAAAGAGGGTGGTGGGAGGAGTCTCCCTGCAGCAGGGTGGTGGCTGCTCCATGCCCAGCTCAACCCCTGGGCCAAGTGCTTAGTTCGCTGGGAGATACAACACCATAATCAAATTCTAAAATAGATGTTCCGATAAATTCTTCAGCTCGCTAGGGCCCATGTCTCACATTTAAAACAGAGTAACACAAGCAAGGGAGCGTTCTGCTCCACTCTAACACCTTTGGCACCCATGGGTCACTGCTGTGCTAAAACACCTGTGTGTTAGGCCCTAGAGTAGAGGAACTGCAGTCTTCTGTCGCTGAGCAGGAGAGACCTGGGAGCACTCACAAACCCCTCCCTGGGGTCCCACGGAACTACTTGAAGGAGAAAAGAGGACATTATTAAAGAATTTATGAGAGCTATTTGGAGTTATGATTCAAATACTTCATATGTCAGAACATTTATAATTTTCCCACATTTGCTATTTCTATTATCATCAGTTTCAAAACTGATAAATGATGCAGGGTTGCATGTTCATCTTTGGAGAAGTCAAGGAAGAGGTGAAACCAAGAACCACTCCACAAACCCTGTGGGGAGGAATAGAACCAAAACAAGGAGTGGATCGTTGATGGAAAGGAAAATAGCAAAGATCTTGGGTTCTGTATTAAGAAAACAAGCAGAGTGTACAGACCCTGAAGATCCCAAAGGGCTTAAGAAAGATAATAGAAGTATCTTAAACATTGGAGCAGAAGGAATTTTCAGATTTCACATAGGCAGACAGCATACAAGCATTTAGCAGGATTTATTCTCCCCTGCAATCAGCATACTCAAATTATTCTTATCTAAATAGAATTTGGCCTTGTACTATATTTTTCTTCTTATCTCCTACATATAAACATCCACTAATGCTTTTTTTTTTTTTATAAAATGATAATTCCAAGTCCCTACAGGCCCTCTTTTGGCAACATTTCATAGCATTAGATGAGTGACTATGTAGGCGATAAAGCAATTTATTCTGCTCTTCAGGCCCTTTGGGGAATTCAAGAGGCTCTTTCCAACCAGCAGGACCAATTAGGGAGGTGATGCTGTATTGTAACTTCACACACTGCAAGAGGTTTCTCTGAGAGGTAAGGAAACAAATATGATCCAAGTAGAAAGGAAACCCTAGAAGCAGAAGGGCTTGCAATTGTGTCTGTATTTAGCAAAGTACTCAGCAGAAAGTGCCTGCAGCCTCCTCTTATACTGCATGGTTTTCTTTAGTGAGGATAACACTAGTGGTCGCTGCGCATGGTGCACACACACCTTACTCTCCACTTGCCTGTGACTCTAGAACCAGGGCTCCTCCGCTTACGTCATTCAGCAGCTACAGAGTTGACTGTGGTGGCTGTTTTATCTGTTTTAGAATGGGGACCCCTAGGAAAGAAAGAACCACAGAATTGGTTAAATGAAAGGCACAAACTTCAAATTCTAGAAATATCATCACCGATTTTACAGATGGTTTATTCGCCAAACAAGATTTCTCTTTTCTTTCCATTCTGCATTTTCTTCCACTTCCAGTTCCCTTCCATCCGTTTGGCCCTCACTTGACTGCTTATAACGCCCCTCCCTTAAAAAATATGGCTGCCCAGGACCTAGCAGGCTTCCTCTGCATCGACACCCAGAGAACAAGCAGAAACAGAAGCCCTCTGCCTGCCTTCTCACTCTTTTACCTCATCTCCCTTTCTCCATTTTTGCACATCCCTTGACTTCCTCCTGGGAACAGTCTATTAACTTTCAAAGCACTTGCACATGCTTTATCTGTATTCAGTGATTTAGTCTTTAATGCCATGAGTTCAGAGTTAAAAATTAATGGGATCATGTGGCAAAGTTTCCATTTTTGTATTGCCTGGTCCTAAATTCAGAAATGCAAAAGAATGGTATATAACATTCCCAATGTCTTTCTAAACCTTCATTTTAAATCTCATTTCTTTCATAGTTCTGTGAAATATAACCTCTCTTGACTTGTCTCCCCAAGTGACTTTTCTGGCTTTAACATAGAATTAGAAAAACAAATAGAATAAGAAAGATCTACTAAAAGCAGAGAGGAATCACGTTGGTCATAATCTGAGGGTCCCCTGTTCTACAAAACATTGAGATATAGCTTCCCTCTATCCATCATTGTTCCATCTCTCTGTCTACTCACCTGCCTAAATCTTTTTTACACATACAGTGGTTATCATACAACTGAGCATTAAATTTGTCTGTTTGATGCAGGCAGCTTAATTTTCTTGGATCTCCTAGCTTGTAACAGATTCCAGATTCTTCTTGTTCGTGATGCTATTGCAAACTCAGAATATCCTAATGATCACAATTACTTTGTATTGTAATTACTGCGATCATTAGTAGGTAGGTAACCTTGATTTTTTTTTTTCTTTTTTGAGACTGGGTCCCACTAAATTGCCCAGGTTGCCCTGGACTGACCAGGAACTACAGGGCTCAAGCAATCAGCCTGTTTGCCCTCCAGAGTAGCTGGGATTACAGGTATATACCACAGTGAGCCAGTTAAACTTTAAAATTCTTAAGGGCAGATTCTTATTCTCTCACACATACACCTACATCACAACCTCTCCCCCATCTGTGCCACCTGAAAGGACACAAAGAGTAGCTGCCACCAGATACGTCACTGAGAATGCAGGTGACTACTGTGAGGAAGGGAAACAGGTTGGAAAAAATAAGTCTAGGAGAGTAGGGTCAGCCTGCTGTGCTTGGAAGAACTTTGTGATCAATGTAAAAATGATTTCCAGAAAAAATTTCCCATCTACTCCATCTTGCTTTCTATTTAAATTTTTAAGAAATGATCATGTAAATGGTTATTGAAAAACCTAGCTAACAAACATAAGAACTGACAACTTTGTACCTGTTTTTATATGCCTCTTCTGTTTACTTTTTTCTTTTGTTGATGTCAAGAAAAAACCTAAAGGTGGAATGTTTTTGCTGATATGTGGAAGCTAAAACACAATACAAGGGGAGAGGGAGAAGAGAAATTCAGTGGATTAGACAAAGGGGAAGGAAAGGGAGGGAGGGGGATAGGAATAAGAAAGATAGTAGAATAAATCTAACATAATTTTCCTAAGTACACTTCTCAAAATACCTAAGTGAACCCCACCATCATGCCCACCCACAAAAATGGGACTGAGTCACATCTCCAGCCCTCTTTTGTATTTTATTTAGAGGCAGGGTCTCACTGAGTTGCTTAGCACCTCACTTTTGCTAAGGTTGGCTTTGAACTCGTGATCCTCCTGCCTCATCCTCCTGGGCAGCTGGGATTACAGACGTGCGCCACCGCAACCAGCTCCTAATTAGAATAAGAAATATACCATGTTTGTATAATTTTATCAAATGGAACTACTGTCATGTATAACTAAGAGGAAGCAATAAAAATAAACAAATAAGTTGACCAAAAAAAAGAAAAAGAAACATGCTTAATTTAATGAACAGGGCTGTCTATTAACATTGAAATCTCTGACATGTGCTGGTCTCCCCTAAAAGAAATACAATCTTCCAGAAAACAAAGGCAACTATATTTTACTGGCAACCTCAAAAACAAGCTCATCATATTCTTTCTGATTTAATATGCATTTTTAAATTATTCATCTGCAAGACATAAAATAGTTCATTTTGAGAAGACGTTTCATTTGGATGTTAATTTGCAAATAAGAGTCAGGGAGAAGTTTGTATAAATTATTTTTGTAAATATATGTGCATATAATATCTTCTAAAATTTTAACAAACCAGTGAATAAAACCTTCTGAGGAAGAATGATCCAAAGATAATCACCCCGACTTGGAATAATTTTATCACAGTTCATCTTCTGTGAGCTTCTTTAGTAATCTGAAGGGTGAGATTAGACTCTCATTATGAACTACTTATAAACATCATTTGAGATGATGGGAAAGTAATTTGAAGAATTTGGGACCTGGTAATGAGTTTCCTTTGAAGTTGGAGAGGGGTAGCAGTGGGAACAGAATTTAAGATAATTGCTGGTTGTCTCCAAGGAGTCCAAATGTTGACGAAGCTTCTGCGCTTAATAATTAAAGATGCTAACCTCAGAGAAAGACAGAGCCATGTTGCCAGTGTTTCTGTGAACACTGGAAAGCCTGCCTCTTGGTCTCATAATCTAACTCTCTGACTCTGTCCCCCTCCTTCCTCTAGCTCCCATCTCTGCCCATGCTGTGTCTCCATCATAGGCCCTGAGAACACCTGAAAGCATAAGGAAGAGGAAAAAACCTGTCTGGGGAACAACTTTGGCAGCAGGGTACACTGCAGTCGTAAAATACCCCCTTTCCTGCCTGAGGTGCCATTCTGAAGAACAAGGATAACAAGGCTACCTCTCCCATGCATGTTCAGGAAGTCGACAAATGTTTGCAAACCTCTTTGAAGTTTATAAGCTGTGCATCTGGGTTAAGTCCAATTCATACAAGCATAGGAAACTCCTTCCTAGGAGAAAGGTACATCTAGGTGTGGCTTTTTCTTCCCCTACATTTAAATCGCTATTGTTAGACTCATGAGAACTTCATTCTGGCTAATCATGTCATACCTAGAATATTCTCCCAGGCTCTACAACCAAGAGAATTTCACAGACCATTTCTGATGTTCTGCATTTGGCCTGGGTAACCCTTAGTCCAATCACAAGTGCCTCTAGGCACAGCTTCACTTAGTCTCACCCAGCTATTTCTTAGTCTCACCAGCATTGAAGGGAAGTCTGATGTAAAGTCAAGAGGAATGTCCTCATTTTTTATGCCCATTCCCAGAGCATCCCTTTGGTCCAGAAGCATTTTATAGCCACATCAGCAGAAGAAATGGAAAATGAAGAGCATGGTCATGGCTTGCCCAGAAAACAAGGTCAAAGACATGACCTCACCTCAACTAATTACATCTTCAATTACTATTTCCAAATAAGGACACATTCCAAGGTACTCGGGTTAGAACTTCAATGTATGAAATTTGAGGGGACATAACAATATTTGTTAGTAATTCCCAAACCTTGGTCTAGGGCTAAAGTAGATAGACATTGCAACCTTCATCTCAGATCCTTCCTTGCAGATAAAAGTTTTGTCAACTCTGTTCTGGGCCATAGTGTTGAGACCTGCCTCTTGCAAGTCTCTCTGCTTCTCTTCACACACTCCCCACTGGCTGGACCCCTGGTGGACCACTTCCTGTTCTCACCAACCCAGGGAGGAGCAGCAGGAGAGCTGGGGAGGGAAAGGCTGTTGTTTCTTGACATTTGCTGGCTCGCACAGAATTTGCACCTTGTTAAGGAATGGGCCACAAGAGCATCTTACCTGGGTGCCAATCTAGGGCACCTCAGGAGCTCTTAAAATCTCTAAAAATGAAAGAATATAAAGAAAACTATTTACCAGGATGAGAGGGATTCTGCAGCCCTTTGAGAGCATGTTCAAATAACAACAAACGTTGCCCTGATTATCCTCACAGAACAGGTCCTGCTAATTGAAAGATTTTGGTTTTGTAAAGATTTTGGTTTGGTTTTCAAGGTTGGAGTCAACATTTAATTGTTCAGATCCATCAAAGCAAGACTGAGCCTAGTATTCCATATAATCAATATGTACCAAGGACAAAAAAAAAGAAAAAAAAGAAAAGGCAAAGCTGATTCCTGCCTTCCTTCTTTGCCCGTCCTCTCCCCCATGACTAGTTCCTCCCTACCCTGAACCAGAGGTGAAGGATAAGAATCATTACCAGTGTGAACATGGTTCCAAACTATTTCACAGCCTCAGGTGCCTACAAGTATTACCATGCCTAGGATATTCCAAATTCAATGAAATACCACCAGGGATCAATGCTTCCATTTGCATCTGCATAGTTTGGGAGAAAAGATTTGCAACACTAACTATGACTTTAAAGTGTTCCCAGAAGCTGGACATTTGGGGCTCCCCTTCACACTGTAGAACACAAATCATCCAACTGACTAACTTGCCACAAAAACAAGTATCTAGAAGGTAATATGATTAACTAAAAAATCATGTGATCATTTTTCTCCATTCAAAAATTTTAAATTTATCTTTTCAAATTATGTGGGTTTAAAGTTGCTGAACAGTGCTTCTTAAGTAGGATGGACCTACTTCCTATTCTTCAAGGTCAAGTTGTCCTTTCATGTGTGAAACAATGATGAGAAGAGAGGGTAATTTCTTTTCCATGTTCTTACTTAGCAAAAATAAAAACTGACAACTATAGGCCAGTCCTATCAAGTCTGAAACCAGTGATCAAAATGTGGATAGAAGGAACACCCTAAGAGATGATTCTGATAACATGATCTTCTCCAAATACTGTAAGTACTGTAGTAAGTTTCTCAGGAAAGGAGTCAAACAAAAGATTTGGTCGGGAAGAAACTCTTCCTGAAATGAAGCTAGCACATGCCTCCAACAGCCTTTCTCCTACAAAACATTAAGTCATCTTCCACTTGGATACCCAGCCCTGCCCAACTTCGGAAACGCTATTTCTTAGTCTCACCCAGCATTGAATCTGTGATGCCAGTGTCTTCATTGCTACTCCTGGTCCCTGCCTGCCTCACATGGTCTTTGTGCACACTACAATATTTATGTCTCTCTGTGTGAACTGCTGGCTAGTGAGCAGGCTGTCTCGGACTGTCTAGAGAGCAGGAAGCAGATGGAAAATAAATACAATTGAGGAGCTCTGGGGGCAAAGCTACAGACAGAACAAGAGGGCTGGAAATAAACAAACAGGAAAGAGACTGACCCTGCTTCTGCCTTTCATCCCTGACTCTGATAGATAAGACTTAAACAGCAAGACGCCGCCGACTGGGCTTAGTTTCAAATTCTCCCCAGCTTTTGCTTCAGAGTGGGTTTTTTCCCTTTGAAAAAATCTCTCTCTGCATTTTGTTAAAGGATGATTCAAAGAAGCTATTAATAAGTGATTACAATATTCCAAATGCTAAAACCGCTATCACATTAGAGATGGGTAGTATGCAAGAATTTGAAATCATCTTTGACATGAATATCATGCACATGTTAAAAGTAGAAACACTGACTTTGGTGGATCATATATGTGATAAAACAGAGCATCAGACCCAGGGCTAGGAAAGATTTTAAAGTCATCGAAAACCACGTTGGTTCTGCCCTCATCATTCTTCCAGACTCGACTGTTGTGTCTAACCTTGCCTTTCGTCAAAGTCAGCTAGAAGGAAAGAATCTAAAACCAATCATTTACATCTCATAACAAACTTAGATCAAAGCATTATCTCTGACTATGTCATTATTCTTGGTGAAAATATGTGAAACTCAAAGCCAATTCTGTTTGTTTTCTTCACTGAGAATGCATTCCTTATATCTTTCTACTACTACTACGGTCAGGGATGAAGTTCGGTGGTAGAGCACTTGCAAGCTCAAGGGCCTGAGTTTGATCTGGAGCACCACAAAAATAGATAAATAATTTAAAAATTAAAGTTCCTGCTATTCTGTGACATGCCCTCAGTACTGTTCCCTCACCCCTGGGCCAAAGGCCTCCCCTTGGGGTTTTCTTGGGTGGTAGGTATGGTTAACACCCTGGAGCTGACTTGCCCACATTCAGATCCTGACTTACCCAGGAACTAGTTGTATGACCATGTCAACATCTTTTAATCTGAGACTCAGTATCCTTGTCTACAAAAGGAGAATGGTAATAGCACTACATTCTTTGTAGAATTATCCTGAAGGTTAACTATGATAATGTTGAGCTCTCTGAGCAATGGCTGACATGTGAGGATCTGCTAATGTTATCAATGTCTTTGTATGGTCATAAATTATCAATGTGGACATATTTTCTTGATATTATGAAAATGAAATTTTAAAAGCAACTAGTTCTGCTAAAAATAATGATTTTTTTTTTAATTTCTTAGGGCCAGCATCTTTTTACATGGAAGGCTATTTTGGCCCCATTAAAAAAAAAAAAAAAAAACCTTTGGTAGAAATCAATAAAGGAAGTTTTTTTTTATCTTAAATTTTCATCCTTTTCCCTACATAGAAAATATTTGTCTTTTGTTACTAATCTAACATCTCAATACATTGAGTATGTCTGGATTCAAACACACTTTGTTTCTACAAAATCTGTTTCAATCTCTCTGTGTTATCACTGATTATCAATGTAAAATGTTATTGAGTGGTATTCTTTAAGGGGAAAGAATGCCATGATATAAGTTAGCAAAAGATAGAAATAGCTCATTTTATCTTCAAATAACTTTTGTAACACTTCACATCTACAACAGGGCACAGTGGCCTCCAAAGACAGAAACCATGTCTATTAGACAATGTTTTCTGCTGTCCCAAGACAGTTCCTACATTCTCAAGATCTCATTGTTACTGTATGAAATCTAACAAGATGTTTCTTCAGTAACAAAGTCTTACCTCAAACAAACACATTTAAATGTCAAAGGAATCCTAGGAACCCATGCAGGGAAATGGCAGAGGGGCTCCTGTGCCTTCAGACTCACCCAGAATAAGTGATGTCCTTCTTGGCTTCCACAAATAAGACTAACAGCAGCCAAGGACTCATTTTTTTTCCGGTACCAGGGGTTGAACTCAGGGGTACTGGACCACTGAGCCACATCTCCAGCCCTATTTTGTATTTTACTAGAGACAGGGTCTCACTGAGTTGCTTATAGCCTCGCCATTGCTGAGGCTGGCTTTGAACTTGCGATTCTCCTGTCTCAGCCTCTCAAAAAAGCTGCTAGGATTACAATTGTGTGCCACCATGCCTAACAGAACTCATTTTAATTAAAACTAATGTTAATTCTGCATTTTTGTTTCTCATTCAATGTAAGCTTGTTAAAGTGAAAACAAATTCTCTTCTTGATGGGGCTGGGGATGTGGCTCAAGTGGTAGCGCGCTCGCCTGGCATGCGTGCGGCCCGGGTTCGATCCTCAGCACCACATACAAACAAAGATGTTGTGTCCGCCGAAAACTAAAATAAATAAATATTAAAAAAAAAATTCTTTGTTAAAAAAAAAAAAAAAAAATTCTCTTCTTGCTTGCGTTTGAATTGAAACTGTGAAAAAGAATAGTTGTGGGAGCAGTGCTCTGGCACAGAGAGTTATCTGTCTGAGGGGACAGACTGTTATCGATTGCCCAGTTCAGCAACACTTCCTGTCTTGTCCTCCGGTCAAGTCATGTAGCTTATTGGTGTGTCTCCTTTGCAAAGTCCAGATCAGAATATTCAATTATCTACAAAGGATGTTCTATGGATTAACTGTCAAGTGTTTTGGGACCGTTAACTACTTGATAAATGCTAATGAGATTCTTCAAGGAAACTGGTATTATTTGTTCAACTAACAGATAATATTTCTTCTGTGTGTATGACTACCTTAGGTTTTATTATTGTTTACAGAGACTCATTTTTTTAAGTTGTATTGCAATTCTACATTGTCTTCCAAGTAATCACCATGCTTTAATTATAAAGTTCTGAGTTTTCAACCATAGTTGCTGAGTCAATCTTTAGGGACTGTGTTAGGATCAGAGAGAAGTTAATCTGCCTAAAGTCTTAGTTTGGTTGGTAATCACCAAGGCATAATAAGCCTGTGAGTTGTAACAGAGACATTTGAATAGTTACTTTAAGGAAATAATACCAGCTGGAAAGAAAAGCCAGGCTGAGGGGGGAAAGTATGGATGATAACTATATTCTAAGTTTCTAATTAAATCCAGCAGTTGGACCAAAGACATTAGAAGTACTTTAGAAAAGACTTTAGAAAACATAGACTTTGCAGTTTCTTTGATTTCCATCTCTCTGACTCTAAACATATTTGGAACAAGCTAGAAAAAAAAAATCATTGCAAATGTCTCTTTCCTAGGGAGAAAGAAAAAAGAAAGAGAGAAAGAGGAAAGGAGGGAGGGAGGGAGGGAGAAAGAGAAAGACATGCTGCATTTACAGAATTTGTTATTGAGGAAAAGAAAATAAAGGGTACGATAATATTGGGCTGCAAATCATCCAGCTCCATTCTCACCTTGGCCTTGACATTCCGGGGCCCCTAAGCAGGTCATTGAACCTGCATGTCCATCACATTCCCCACCTCCACCTGTAAAAAATGAAATAAAAACAACTAGCTCCTATCTCACAAAGAAGTCATAAAGATTAGAGTTAGAACATTGAACTTCAAAGATGAAAGGCTCAATATAAATTCCAAGCATTATTGTCAAGACAGTGTGAACCAGCAGAAATGTGCTGCTTAAGCAATTGCTACCTGTCAGCAGATCTAGGATGACCTTGCTATGCCAAGGGAAGGGCAGAGGGGCCTTAGACCAGGAAGCACATTGTCTCATAGCCAATGTTATTGTTTTAATTAGCTCACCATAATCTCTTTTCTTGTTTCTCTGAATTTAGTGCATATCTAATATACCTGCTCCACTCCCACCCCAATAAAGTAGACATTTATTCTGCATATACAATGTGCAACGTTATGCTAAGGGCAAAATACAGAAATCAATACATAGTTCTTACCTCTTCTGATTGTACATTTCCTCTTTAGTCTAGAGGGAGTGGAATAACCCCAAAAGCTTAGGGTATCCCAGAGCAACACCTTCCAGATGCCAAAAAAAAAAAATTCTAATAATTTTGTAACTGACTTCCATTAGCAGTAAGTATTAAGCCATGACATGTACTGTGACAAATCAAAATTTTGCACATTTTTTACCTTGAATTTTCAAGTGCTTCAAATTACTACTGAAGATTTTTTAAAGCCTAAAGTAATAGCTCCCTGACTGCTTTCAGAATCATTGAGTTCCAAGGGGTCCTTCATCCCAAATGATATATCAAATGATACACCAGTGACCTCAAGTAGATTTTTTCATGTGGCCAGGATGTGGAGAACAGAATACTCCTGTGTGTGAGTGTGTATGTGTTTGTGTGTGTACATATGCTTGCACAGGCACCTAATCACCCCACCCCCACCTTGGGTCCCCTGACTTCCTCCTGTTTAGTAATGAATAAATGCATGACAAGTTCAGGTGCTGCCTGAGAATGGTTGCCAATCTTAGCCTAAGTCATTTGCAGCAGCTGTTCTTATGCTGTTTTAAAGATCTCCAGGCCATGACCAACCTTGGAATCCTAGTTCCAACATCAGATCCACTTAAATTTAGGGAAATTTCTCTATGTAGAAATAATAGTCTAAGTCACTCTTTTTCAGCTATCTTTTATTCTGTGAAAAGGCCAAGTAGCAAACATTGTACCCTCTTTGGCCATGTGATCTCTGCACTGCAGGGCAAAAGTAACCATAGTCCATACATATGCAAATGACCCTGGCTAGGTTCCAACAAAGTTTTATTTACAAGTACTGGATGACATGCTAGATTTGGCAGATGGGCCTTAGTTTGCTGGTCCCTGGTCTTCCCCAAAAAACCCATGATCCATATCTCTATGCCACCTTTCCCGTCCCTATGCTCAGGCTAAGATTTTCTGAAATAACCTATAATTATTCAGCAATAGTGGACCTAGAATCTTTCAATTGCTCATGTGTAACACAAACACACACACACACACACATACACACACACCTTTGGAGTCGGAAAAGTCAAACCTGAAAAGCAGAATATCTTCTGCTTTGTTTTCACATCCATCTATTTCCCACTTTCAGGATGAGTGGGAACGACCTACATTTTTACTTACTGTGTTTTGAACTGAGGCTCAATGCTTTAAAATTTTCTCAAGACATACTTACCAACAGTTATAACCAAAGAATGAGTAAGAAAAGGACTATAGCTCCTTTCTGCAAAAAAGTATGGTCCATGGAGCAGAAACCTCAGCATCACCTGAGTACTTGTCAGAGACAAGAAATCTTGGGCCCCATCCCATAGCTTCTGAGTTTGAATCTGTCCTTGAACAGGAACCCTAGGTGATTTCTGTGTACCTTCCATTCAAGCAAGAAAATTATGGATGAGACTGCCTATTTAAGGTCCTAGCGAGAAATACATGTCAACAACAGGTGGAGAAAATCTGTCAGTGAAGAGACTGCTTAGTAGGTGCAGTCAGAGTTACTTGAAAGCACAGGTATAGGGAGGACCCTAGAAACAGCAAAGCCATTACAACCCCTGGGGCTGAAGAGACCCGAAGGAGAAATAGCCATACCTGAGTTCATTTTGCACTCAGAAACTTGGAGGCGGGGCAGTCTGGTGGAACTGTCTTCGAAGAGGAAACAGCAATTTTTAGAGACATCTCAACAAAGCAAAGAGCAATTCGAGAAGGAGTACCCCAATTTCTCTCTCCTCTCTTGCCCTCCAGGCTCTTGCTGGTACCTCCCACTGGCCAAATGCTCCCAGAAGGCAGATTGTGGACAGGGCCAAAAAGATGCATTCCTCAAAGCCAGGCTCCCAGGGCACAGAGCAGAGAAGGAAGATGCAGAGAATAATCAGCATAGACTCAAGGGGATGCAGGTGGGGCTGGTCTCCCAGGGACTCTGAGCTGGTGTTTCTCCAGCTGGCAGTTAACCCTCTGGTAGCCCAGCACCCTGGCTTCACAAGGCAATGCTGGCTTTTCCTTTTATCCAGAACACAGAATTGCTCAACTTCTATAATTGCCCAACTAAAATGCTATTAAAACAAATCTTTATATACCTCTATGCCACCTCAAGAAAACCACACCTCAAAATTCTTCTTTTTTACTGTCACCCCCTCAGTCCAATTAAATTAAAGTATGCCTGTTTTATGCCGTCAGAGTAACCAGACTGTGGGAAGGAAGGCCTGCTTGCTTTAGTTGGCTGTGGGATTAGCTCTAAGAAACCTGCTTTCCTCTCTCTTCTTCCACAGCAATTCCCTGAGAGCCTCCTCCCGACATTCACTGTGGGATCAAGTTATTTCTTGGTAAAATATAAGAACCAACAGTGTTGAAAGGGTAAAAGGAGGAGGCCATAGGTAGACATATTATGAAGAGTCTGCCTCTTAGTCACCCTGCCCTTAGGCAAATAATGTCTTGTAGCTTTAACATGTAAAATGAAGTGTTAAAATAATTAATTGAGAGGTCATTAGACTAAGGCGGCCCTAGTATCCTGGGTTTGTGAGTAAGCCAACAGAAACCCAGCTCAGCATAAATGGTCATAGCCTATTTTATCCATCAGATACCACCAACTAACCTCTGATTGGGGACTGGAGGCCACTGCTCCAGTTTACAGTCAGGTATCTTCTCTGCAGTGCTTCCACACTTACCTTGTAAAATCTCCCCCAACCCTCATCTTTCTTAGAGCCTAAACCATCTATAGTTTGGGGCCTCCCAATACAGAAGTCCCTGTCCAAATAATCTTTTCAGGATTTTAATGTGCCTATTTAACAGGAAATACCCTATATCCTGTAGATAATAATAATAGTAACCTAGCTGGCAAGGTGGTATGCTCCTGCAGTCCCAGCTACTCAGGAGGCTGAGACTGAAGACCCAAAAGCTGGAGGCAACCTCAACACAGTGAGTTACTGTTACCTAAATAACAGTAACAACAACAATAATAACGGTGTTGCCTATCTCACATGCTTAAAAAGAATGGAACAGTAGCGCATCATAGGAGTAAAAAATGTGATGCATAAAAACACTTAGCGAGAGGGAACTGTGACCACGCACAGAGCAGGCCCAGCGGCCTGCTGAGGGGCAGAGCCGCCCCCCACCCCCCGCACCTGCCAGGTAGGTGGAACTGTGACCACGGACAGAAAAGGCCCAGTGGCCCGCGGCGGGACAGAGCTTCCAATCACTCCTGCAAGGTAGGCGGGCCTGCGACCCACCAGCAGAAGAGGAGCAGCGGCCTGCTGAGAGGCAGAGCCGCCCCCTCCCCCTGCACCGGCAAGGTAGAGGGAACTGTGACCACGCACAGAGCAGGCCCAGCGGCCTGCTGAGGGGCAGAGCCGCCCCCCACCCCCCGCGCCTCCCAGGTAGGTGGAACTGTGACCACTGACAGAAAAGGCCCAGTGGCCCGCGGAGTGGCAGAGCTTCCAATCACTCCTGCAAGGTAGGCGGGCCTGCGACCCACCGGCAGAAGAGGAGCAGCGGCCTGCTGAGAGGCAGAGCCTCCCCCTCCCCCCCGCACCTGCAAGGTAGACGGAACTGTGACCACCATCAGAACAGGCCAGACCTGCAACCGAGAGACAGAACAGGCCCAGTGGCCTGAGGAAGGGTAGAGCCGCCCCCCCCCGCGCCTGCAAGGTAGGCGGACCTGCGACCCACTGGCAGTACAGCCCCAGAGGCCTGCAGAGGGGCAGTGCCGCTGCCTGTGCCTGCAAAGTAGACAGAACTGTGACCACCGACAGAACAAGCCTAGCGGCCCGCAGAGGGACAGAGCCGCCGCCCGCACCTGCGAGGGAGACTTTGCAACTATACAAGACCAATATAAATATATAGGGGGAAAATTCAATAGCGCAACAGTTTCACCAAGTAGAAAGGAACGCGAACAGTATGAAGAGACAAGGAAAGAAAGGACCACAAGCATTGCAGGTCAACTCAACATTAGAAGAGGTAATGGCTGCAGCAGATGGAATGTCAGATAAAGAATTCAGGATATACATGCTTCAGATGATCTGGAGTCTCAAGGAAGACATCAGACAGCAAAATCAGACAATGAAAGATCACTTCAACAATGAATTACATAAACAAATCCAAGAAGCAAAAGATCAACTATACAGGGAAATAGAGGTTATAAAAAACAAACAAACAGAAATCCTAGAAATGCAGGAAGCAATAAGCCAACTTAAAAACTCAATTGAGAATACTACCAGCAGAGTAGAACACTTAGAAGACAGAACATCAGACAATGAAGATAAAGTATTTCAACTTGAAAAGAACATAGACAGCTCAGGAAGACTGTTAAGAAACCATGAGCAGAACATCCAAGAAATATGGGATAACATCAAGAGACCAAATTTAAGAGTCATTGGGATACAGGAAGGGACAGAGTTTCAAACCAAAGGAATGATCAATCTATTCAATGAAATAATACGAGAAAACTTCCCAGACTTGAAGAATGAGACAGAACCCCAAATCCTAGAAGCCTACAGGACGCCGAATGTGCAAAATCATAAGAGACCCACACCTAGACACATTATAATGAAGATGCCCAACATACAGAATAAGGAGAGAATTTTAAAAGCTACAAGAGAAAGGAAGCAGGTCACATTTAGGGGTAAGCCAATCAGGATAACAGCTGATCTTTCAACACAGACTCTGAAAGCTAGAAGATCCTGGAATAACATATTTCAAACACTGAAAGAAAATGGGTTCCAACCAAGAATTCTGTTTCCAGCGAAATTAAGCTTCAGGATGGAAGATGAAATTAAAACCTTCCACGATAAACAAAAGTTAAAAGAATTTGCAGCTAGAAAACCATCTCTTCAAAACATCCTTGGCAAAACATTACAGGAAGAGGAAATGGAAAATAACAATGAAAACCAACAGTGGGAGGTAGGACACTAAAGGGGGGAAAATAATCAAAGAGGAAAACAAACCATGTTTAGTAACATAAATAAACAAATATGGCTGGAAGAACAACCCATATCTCAATAATAACCCTAAATGTTAATGGCTTAAACTCACCAATCAAGAGACACAGGCTAGTAGAATGGATCACAAAACAAGACCCAACAATATGCTGCCTACAGGAGACGCATTTGATAGGAAAAGACATGCATAGGCTGAAGGTGAAAGGTTGGGAAAAATCATATCACTCATATGGACTTCGGAAACAAGCAGGAGTATCCATACTCATATCAAATAAAATAGATTTCAAGCCAAAGTTAATCAAAAGGGATAAAGAGGGACACTACATACTGCTCAAGGGAACCCATACACCAACAAGACATAACAATCATAAATATATATGCCCCAAACAATGGTGCAGCTATGTTCATCAAACAAACTCTTCTCAAGTTCAAGAGTCTAATAGACCACCATACAATAATCATGGGAGACTTCAACACACCTCTATCACCACTGGACAGATCTTCCAAACAAAAGTTGAATAAGGAAACTATAGAACTCAATAACACTATTAATAACCTAGACTTAATTGACATATATAGAATATACCACCCAACATCAAGCAGTTACACTTTTTTCTCAGCAGCACATGGATCCTTCTCAAAAATAGATCATATATTATGTCACAGGGAAACTCTTAGACAATATAAAGGAGTAGAGATAATACCATGCATCCTATCTGATCATAATGGAATGGAACTGAAAATCAACGATAAAAGAAGGAAGGGAAAAGAATACATCACTTGGAGAATGAACAATAGGTTACTGAATGATCAATGGGTTATAGAAGACATCAAGGAAGAAATTAAAAAATTCTTAGAGATTAATGAAAACACAGACACAACATATCGGAATCTATGGGACACATTGAAAGCAGTTCTAAGAGGAAAATTCATTGCTTGGAGTTCATTCCTTAAAAAAAGAAAAAACCAACAAATAAATGATCTCATACTTCATCTCAAAATCCTTGAAAAAGAAGAGCAAAACAACAGCAAAAGAAGTAGAAGGCAAGAAATAATTAAAATCAGAGCTGAAATTAATGAAAAAGAAACAATTGAAAAAATTGACAAAACTAAAAGTTGGTTCCTTGAAAAAATAAACAAAATCGACAGACCCTTAGCCATGCTAGCGAAGAGAAGAAGAGAGAGAACTCAAATTACTAACATACGGGATGAAAGAGGCAATATCACAACAGACACTTCAGAAATACAGAAGATAATCAAAAATTATTTTGAATCCTTATACTCCAATAAATTAGAAGATAGTGAAGGCATAGATAAATTTCTTAAGTCATATGATCTGCCCAGATTGAGTCAGGAGGATATAGACAACCTAAACAGACCAATATCAATTGAGGAAATAGAAGAAACCATCAAAAGACTGCCAACTAAGAAAAGCCCAGGACCGGATGGGTATACAGCAGAGTTTTACAAAACCTTTAAAGAGGAACTAATACCAATACTTTTCAAGCTACTTCGGGAAATAGAAAAAGAGGGAGAACTTCCAAATTCATTCTACGAGGCCAACATCACCCTGATACCTAAACCAGACAAAGACACTTCAAAGAAAGAAAACTACAGACCAATATCTCTAATGAACCTAGATGCAAAAATCCTCAATAAAATTCTGGCCACTCGGATACAAAAACTTATCAAAAAAATTGTGCACCATGATCAAGTAGGATTCATCCCTGGGATGCAAGGCTGGTTCAATATACGGAAATCAATAAATGTTATTCACCACATCAATAGACTTAAAAATAAGAATCATATGATCATCTCGATAGATGCGGAAAAAGCATTTGACAAAGTACAGCATCCCCTTATGTTCAAAACTCTAGAAAAACTAGGGATAACAGGAACATACCTCAATATTGTAAAAGCAATCTATGCTAAGCCTCAGGCTACCATCATTCTGAATGGAGAAAAATTGAAGGCATTCCCTCTAAAATCTGGAACAAGACAGGGATGCCCTCTCTCACCACTTCTGTTCAACATAGTTCTCGAAACACTGGCCAGAGCAATTAGACAGACGAAAGAAATTAAAGGCATCAAAATAGGAAAAGAAGAACTTAAATTATCACTATTTGCAGATGACATGATTCTATACCTAGCAGACCCAAAAGGGTCTACAAAGAAACTAT